TCCCCCCTGTGTTGGAACAACACCAGCGATGTACGGGTACATCGCTGGTCCTGTAGCTGCCGCCCGTTCCCAGTACATTGCGGGCGAGTGGACGGAAAGTGGTTAATGAAGCCTAAAACTGATCCTACCCCTCTTCTAACACATATTCTAACTACCCTGTAGAATGAAGATGTTTATATTTACCTATTTTCAGGGCTCTCCAGTCCGGTCAGGTGTTCAGCTCCCAGTAGTGGAGAGGTGGGACAGCCGACAACAGCGCCACATGTTTTGGAACTATGTTTGTTTTTATTTTTATTATTGAATATTCACAACAAATTACATTGTTTATTATATATCATCACTTATATGTTTACGCAATTTTTGTAATTGTTGAAGGGATTGCACATTTTATTTGCATTGCAGCAAAAATTCTATTGCCCGTGCATTAATTATCGTAGGGCTTTATTGCCTGACTGCCTTTAAGCAATTGCAACGTCTCCATATGCAGTTAAATACACCTAGGGTTACATAGAGGTAAAGTGGCTTTTTCAACTCATTTACAAGGTAGGAACAAGGCATATTGGTGCAACTAATACAGTCCTGTCCCTAATCTCTGGCAGCTTAGTCCAAACAAACGGATAGAGTCAACTGCTTCGGAAAAAAAACCTCAGTTCATAACTGGTCCCATCTAAGGGTAATAATAGAGAAGGGGCTGCTGTGTGCCATTATATCCCAAGATCGTGATCTCAGTTCCTCCCAGGCCATAGGTGTCAAGGTCCTACCTTTCTTCAGAGCTTGTGCATCTCCATGAGCTGGCATCCATCTTGGTTTTCTGCAAAGCATGGTGGGATCCTTTATGCCTTCAGGCTTCTGCGGCTCCTCCTCAGAAGGGTGTGGTTGAGCACATTTAAACCTGCTGTCTGCAAGTGTGCTCTGCACTTGTGTCCTGTATGTTGCCCTGTTGCAAGCTCTTGTGTTGTTCACATTGCTCTCCTGGTAACCGACTCGGCTTGGACAAGACTACTCTCTGCGTTAACCCTTTACCTGACCTTCCGTTGCTGAACCCAGCCCGTGACCTGAGTATTCTTTGCCTACCGTCTAGTACTGTCTGCTCCATTGTTATTGACCCGGCTTGTCTGACTACTCTACTCGTGTTCCCATCTAGCTCCCACCAGCTGTACGCCATTGGCGGCAGTCGTTATCGCAGCTGGGGTCACTCGGGGGCCGCGACCTGGTCTCAGGCTGCGTCAAGTCCATCCCCACCATCAGGGGCCCTGGTGAAGGGTAGCCTGGGGCTTAGACTCCGCGCCCTGAGGGGCTCTGGTCTGTGGGTAGTGGCTGTCGTCAGTCGCAGCGTGACCGTACCATAGGCCTGCCTGCCCATTCCAGCGTTCCTGCCCTGACATTAGGTCTTGACAATAGGACAATGTTTACTGCTCCATAGAGGACTACACTCTTCCATCTTTATCTTTCCTTCTTCTCCTACTTTTCAACAGCAGTCTCTGGGCTTATAGATGGAAGAAAGGAAGGCTTTTACAGGTATTAACACTATGAATACATTATTTTAAATGGACATATAATATTTTAGGAAGATTCTTGTTGAAATTAATGGTCAAGAAACAGAGTCTATAAAGTGCATTAGCCCAGTTGTCACTGCCACTTGGACTCTAAACATGGCAGTAATCCCATATAGTTTGGGTCCTCTACCTATAGGGACTAGAAGTCACTGGCTACTATCATTTGAGGCATACACTTTTTTAAAATCAAGAATTTTCTAAAAAATATATATATATATAACATTACGATACCAGTGCAAAGTTTAAATGTAACAAAAATCCCACTTATTTGAAATGTGGGCCAAGCCAATTAGATGTTTGTTTCAATCGGCTTGGGAAGCCACAAATATCAATCTATTGCAGCACATATTGAAGGGTTTTTGTAAGTTTCTATCCATGTATTGATTTATCTCTCTCTCCACTCGATGAGAAGCTTGTTTTGTTATGTAAAACATAGTATATAAGCCGCATCCTGAAGTTTCTACAAAGCCGTTCTCGGTTTATACCCAACCAAGTGTTACCTAGCAACTAATCACTAAAATGTAAGCTTTGACTCACTAGAGGAAGCAAAGGGAACCTGAGCGCTTTAAACTACCCCTTTCTAAAATCGCCTTCAATTGCATACTTCCCTTAAGGAGGCTGGTCGGAGCCGGATTACAGAATTTAGCATGCTTCTGAACAAAAAATATCTGCTTCTTATAAACAGCAATTACTTATTATGAATGTGCCAATAGCATCTCATTATCATAAACCGTCAATACGCACAGCCGTTATATAATTAGAATTTTATTCACAAGTGGCTTCTAAAAATAATGTGCAGCTTTTGACAAGTGCTCATGCAGCATTTCTAGAATTTCTGTACGACTGTCCTGCTGTGGATTATTTTCTGAGTCTACAAAATGCTCAGTAGCACAGAACATTAACTGCTGCAGTGATAAGAGATGATGAAAAATTCTATTATCCAGTTTTTCTCAAGCTTCTCTTAGATGCTGTACCAGAACTCTTTCAGTCTCACGTAGTAATGTTGTTGCTCACCAGCTATAATTTCTAAAATGTTCCATTTTAAAGGTAAAGGCAAAAAAACATATATTAGCAGATACAGCACTCTTGAACGATTTATAAATCTAAAACAGCAATGATTTTATGTAAAGAGGTAATTACAGATTTTCAAATATTGCTTGAAAAGTGCTCTTTTAGGTACAGAAAATAAGACATTTGACATTTCTATAACCTTCCTGTGCAGCTTACGGTTGTATGTTTCCATCTTAGACTAAAGAAGTTTGAAGAGTCAATTGGCAGTATTGTTTGAAGAGATAAGTGCATTCAGTTCTACTCTGTTCCAGAATTGGTGACGGTAAGGAGTGCTTACAGCATTTTTTTTTTGCCCTTTCCGTCCCTTTGTAGTTTGTAACAGAGTCTTATTCTTTGACTAAAAGGAATGTTCCTCCAGTCTGAGGAACAGTCAAGTACAATGGTGACTGATGAAGGAAGAGTTTTTTGGATGGCTGTGGTGTTTTTCATAATTTATTGCAATTTTTGTTCTTTTGTATAAATTAATCAAATAACAACTAGAATGCATTTGCCCTATTTATATAACCTGTTTTTGTGACCACACTTTGGGTCATAATGTTTTTTGGTGGACTAATTTTGGGTTATGAGGGCAACATCCTAATGGATGAGTCATCTAGCTTTAAAATTGGTGGGGTGCTCTCAAAATGTCTTTTTTATATGAGGTAGTATCAAAAAGTTTTGAGACATGAAATTCTGCGTGAAACTAGCAAATCGCTGGATCTTCGTAATGTTGTCATCATGGCGACCTTTGAGCTGAATCTTCATCCTTGGGAAGACAGCATTTTCAGGGGTTGAGCTCATTGAAGGTCTTCCTGATTTCTGCTCTTCTGTGTGCCACTCAAAATACCTTGAACGACTCATTGCAGTTTCGCCATAAATTTACTGAATCATGCCCAGTTTCACACAGCATTTCACATTTGCTCTTTGTTCTAACTTGCTGTCCATGATGGAATAGCAGGCATGGTAACACATATGGTCAAAATAGCCCCAGCTGCACAGCTCCCGATGTACACAGGACAATGTCTTTTGGCACACTGACTTATGAAGGTCGTTGCTCGTGTGTGTGCAGCCTTGTACTTCCATCTGTTGGCGTGTTACAAAACTAGTCTTTTTTTATACCATTTCATAGATAGTTTTCATGTTGGTTGCTATGGTGGAATAAAGATTAACATTTCTAAAGGGACAAAGTGGACTGATAAAAAAAAACAAGAAAATGTTGGGGTGATGACACAGTACTAATGAGGAGGTTTGTAGACACATAAGTGAAATAGAACTTATGCAGACCTAGCATTGAATTTATTAATGTAAGATGCGTCCATGCTAGGCAATGTTTTATTGTACCACCTACAGGTATTTATTACTTCCCACAGGGATCAACGTATTGTGAGAGTTGTGAAAATGTGGAATAGAGTCCCTCAAGAGTTGGTTCTGGCCAGCTCAGTGGATTGCCGCTCCGTGAGGACGTCGGAGTGACGAAACGCGTAGGGCTTAATTGGATGACGTCAGGACGTTCCCTGCAGCTGTCGGCGAGGTGTCCGCAGTGAACGGAGTTCGTCCACTATACGATTCCTTATATCTTTACCGCTTGTATACCAGTGTCAGGTGGACACTTGTTTTGTGAGTACAATGAAGTTTTTAATAAATATACACAGTTTTTATTTACTGCACCATCATGCCTTTCCTTTATTTTGGAGTGATATTACCATTTATGTGGAGGATGATCGATTTATAAGGGGTCCTGGCCATACCGCAGAGTGGCTGCAGAGTATTGCTTCTGGTGTCTGGATTTCAATTTACAGAGGGTTGCTTCCTTGGATTCTTTCATCGCTCCCAGAGCAAATACGCTTGTGCTGATTTATAATTTGATCAGCATCTAGCTCTGGTGAGTTCATTCCATTCATCTGGTGGTGGATTAATACACGGTGTTCTTTAAGAAGAAATTCGTTGGATTTTGCATGAATAAGAATTTGTTCACTGGGGACTTTTTGATTTTTTGATTATTTAAATTTATGGTGTTTGGACTTTTGTGCACGATATATGAATTTTATAATTTAAGCGCATTCTGATTTTGTTTTTTTACTTTTCACCAAATTTTTTTGGGTTAGAGGTTTGCTGCTTTATAGGAGTAATTATTGTTGATTGGCGCTTTCTTTTATATTTTTGTAATTTTGCAGCTCAGTGGATTGCTTTAAAAAGGCCTGGATTCTTTCTTGGATACACAGAATCAGGGGCGGACTGACCATTTGGAAACTCGGGCCCCATGAGATGCCCCTGGTACCTTTTTCATAGGCTTTTTTGAGTTTGGGTAAGAACACAGGGGTTCCATGATCCCCTAGGGCACTGCCCGGGGTCAGTAGGGTGCCCCATGAAATGCCCCTGGTACCTTTTTTTGAGTTTGGGCAAGGACACAGGGGCCCCATGATCCCCTATTGCCTGGGGGCCCCATGAGTTGTCAGTCTGCCCCTGCACAGAATATAACTGGATACTAACATTTATAGGTAAAGTTGATCCAGGGAATATTCGATTGCCTCTCGGGAGGATCAGGAAGGATTTTTTTTTTCCCCTGCAGGAGCAAATTGGTTCATGCTTTGATGGTTTTTTTTGCCTTCCTCTGGATCAATTGTCGGTATAGGATTATAACTTTTTTTTTTTTTTTTTTTTTTTTTAATGGTTGAACTGGATGGACTTTTGTCTTTTTTCAGCCAGACTAACTATGTAACTATGTATTATTTCTGACAATGTCATCATCTTATTTTCTTCACAGCATGATGGAGCCATCTTTGTAAAGTCATGATCCAGGATCATCATCTACTTCCTGGACTGAGGTGCTGACTTAGAGATGACACAGCCATGTAAATTCTGATACCTGCATAGTTCTTGGTTGTATTTATTAATACCTGACACAGATCAGTCCCTAATGCAATCTCTCAGCTTTCTGACTTGCTAAAAGTAAATATATATATATATTGTGACATTTCAGGGATGCATTTTTGCAGATCTCCAAAGTTACTGAGAGGTAAGCCAATAAGAAAGATCTGTCTTCTTGTGAGAAAATTATACATAATGGGAAGATAAATTAGCTGAGGTAGATGTTTTCCTGTTAAAAAAAAAAAAGTCTGTATGGTGCACAGTAGGGGGTGGAACAGTGAAACAAGCTTGTTTTCTTGTTCCTCCCAGATTCAGGAGCCTAGAGCAGTGGTCTCCAAACTGCGTCCCAGGGGCCAGATATGGCCCTTTGCTTGCCTTTATCTGGCCCTTGGCATACTATTCCTCCCACCAATACAAAGCACTATTCCTGCCACTGAAACCAATAATGGGGCACTCTTCTTCCCGCTGACACTAATAATGGGGCACTATTCCTTCATATCAACAATGGGGCAATATTCCTTTTATGAATACCAATAATGGGGCATTGTTTACTCCAAGGGCATTTTCTATTCTCATTGGCCACAGTCTGGCCCCCTCATAGTCTGAAGGAGAGTCCTTTGTTTAGAAAGTTTGGAGACCCCTGGACTAGAGCATGTAAGTGTATGTGAACTCTTACTGTTAGCATTATTTAGCCCCTCTCCCCCCTTACACACCCCCAAAAATAAGTATTTATCTTAGAGGCCTTTATAAAATATTTCCCATAGCTTATACTGTATGTTTAGAATACAAAAATGGAAGAAAGGATGGAAGTAGGAAAGTATAGAGAGGAAAAAAAGAATCAGGGCTGTGCATTTCAGTATTTTTTTAATAGAATTGTTTGTCCATTCACATACAGAGCCAAGGCTTGGCTCTGCACCCTCTCTCTTCTCATTGGCTGACTGTCTGTGATGAGGAGGCAGAGACCTGGGACATTGCTGGAGCTCAATGGTGCTCAGGTAAATATTGAAGGGGCTGGGGGCTCTGCTGCATACAGAAGGTTTTTTACCTTCATGCATAGAATGCATGAAGATAGCAAAACCTTAAGCCTTTACAACATCTTTAAGAAATCACATAATCTCTGTTCTCAACTGCATAGGATATTTAGAGAGCTGGGGGTGGAGAAACAGCAGTAAACTGATCTTTCCAGTGAATGGTTGTGAGGGGGGGTCAGCACAAGTCTGATCATTGGAGGACAGGCAGGTTGTTCTTCAAAACTGACCATTCTGATATGGACATGCGCACATGCCTAGTGTGGTCAGTTTGAAATAGGAGAGTGAGGAGACTGGCAGGATTACCAGGGATTTCACATAAAGAAAGCAATACAAAGAGAACAGGATACTTTTTTAACACAAGTGCATGGTACAACATAAAAATATCAATATAAAATGTTGGGGTAACATATTCTTTAAATATGTTCCGAAAGGTTGGAAAGCTTTTATCCACAAGCAACAGTCTGCAATCAATTTTTAATCATAATGATCAAAATTCATAAAAACAAAATAGGGAATATTTATATACATGCAATGCATGTTTTTGATGTTTATTCAACAATAATACTATTAGTAATAATAATAATAATAATAATAATAATATCTATATGTTTTCTATTTTTCTTTGAATCTTTAGCATTCTGGTCATAAATTGATTTCACACTAGTGAGTATAAATATAAGTCATTCCACTTCGTGGTCCCAAAATTAGGAATTTAATTTCTGTTTGTGTTGATATTGAAGATTTTTCCTTGAACCTCTTTACAAAACCATTGTCACCAAGATAACCTCACAAACCTGATGTTGAAGTTCTAATCTATCCCTGCTCCATCCAAAACTAGAAAAGGAAATTTTGGGTGGGCATACGCTTTATTATGAAAAAAACAATTCAGGCAATTCACTTAGCTGACTTAAAAAATTATTTTAAAGTAGAACTATAGGCAAAATTTTTATTTTAATTTTGGATAGAGTAAGGGAGGGTTCTAACCCCTGTCAGATTTTGTTTCGCCATCTGTGTCCCTTTGCAGAGATTTCTCTTCACTTCTTGTCCCATAGCCAAACAGGAAGTGAGGGAAAATCCCTGCAAATTAAGGGAATTCCTTGGGGACCCCCATGTCACCAGAACTAGTGTCTCCATTGGAAGATTTCCCTTCTATTAATTTTCTGCAGACAACCCAAAATTTGGGATTTTCTTTTACCTTCACTTTTAATGATAATGGTAAACAGGACAAATAGAGAGGGCAGGTCTTAAAAAAAAACCTTACAGATGTTCTCATCTCTTTCCACTCTATCCAAAACTTAAAAAAAACCTTTTGCTTTTTTGTTATAATTTAAGGCTTATATCGGGGGTGTCCAACGTTTTGACTTTCCTGGGCCATATTGGAAGAAGAAAAATGCCTTGCGCCACATATAAAATGCTCTAACAATAAGCATAGATCACAATTTAACAATCACTGATATAGATGTACTTATCTGAGTTATAAAACTTCATTCATTTTGTAATATTTTTTATTAAAAAAGTAAAAGAGGACAACATAAAATGAGTGCATTATTTGACACTGTTTTTGATAAACTAACACATCTGGTTCCATGGATGTGGCAGCAATTCTCAATGAATACTCACAATGCTCATCGGATATTTTGGTTCTAATTTCGCCCTTCATGTGCTTCATCCTTGAAAATATAGGTGCTGCTGAAAACTGAAGACATGTATAAGGTGTGATTGTGAAGAGTGGAAGATTTTTTTTGGGAAGATGAAACTTACTAAAGTCCAGTAAAGAGACACTGACACATTTTTGAGTGAGCGTACCCCTGAAGACGTGCATGCACAGGAAAGGCGTCGGGTGGAGCCACACTTGCTGGCGTCACTCCGCAGGTCGGAACAGTGGCCATCATGCTATTCCTCACAGGAGAGGGTCCACCTGCGTTTTTTTGCCCTTGGCTGAGCATTTCTTGCAGAGGCTTCATCACTGTTACCTGTACCCAGATGAGATGTGCTTACATGCTGTTTACCATAATTTTTTTATATTTGATTTTTATATGCTGCACTTGACTTTTCCTCTGATCAAATTTTTTTTTTCTCACTATATGTCAGATTGACTTTGCACTTTATTTTCACTATAATATTATTCACTTATTTTAGCGCTGCACTTTCTATATATTTATCCATAAGGAGTTGTTACCTATACCTAGCTGCTTTATAGTTCCAGTGCTCACCTACACTTGATATTTAAATATAGGTGCTGCAGCATACTAATTATATAAACCTTTCCAGTGTCTGTGAAATATTTCAAAAAACACAAAGTCCCAAGAAATTTTCCTCCAATTTCTGATATAAATTCACCGTGTGATTCCAATAATTGCCGTGTACCTCCAAACAAAGAAAAACTAAATAGTGTATTATCCTCAATAAATAATGAACAATAATACATTCATAAAATAATTAAATCAAAAACCAGAAATGTAAAATTATTTCTTTTTATGCTGCTGCATACTGATGACACGAACAAGGTGTGATTGTGAAGAGTGGAAGATTTTTCTTTGGGAAGGTGAAACTTACGAAAGTCCAGTAAAGAGACACTGACACATTTTTCTGTCGCTACATGTGATTGCTAAGTGTAATTGCACTCAACATTTTGAAGCAAGTTTATGATTGTGTGTTGGCGACATTCATAGCCACAGATTGGACATCCCTGGCTTAAATTGTTAGTTCAGATTTTTGTAAAGAAAAAAATTAAAAGGTATAATGATACCCCAACCCTACCCCCCCATCCCTGTGGTACTTATATGCATGGATGATGAGCTGTCAGTGCCCAGTGCAGTGCTCCTAGCGTAGAGGTCCAGGTATTTGAAAATCCCGCCAGTTCTAACCAATCAAAATTGCCATGATCCATCCTAGAAGTGCTGCACAGCAAAGAGGGAGAAGAGCAGGGATTTCAAATTCCTATGCAACTGCTACGATTGTGTGATCACTGACAGCTCAGCAATCACAGAGGTAAGTACAGCAAAGACCGAGGGAGTGGGGAAGATGTTTGGTGTTAGTTCACCTCTTCATTTTTTTCCGAAAAGGTGAACTGACACTTTAACAGTGTATTATATACAATGTACTGTACGACTTGATCCGATATACATTTTAACAGTATATCTGGTGCCGGTTGCTATGGGTGCTTTGTGAACACTACTGAAATATAATAAAACCGGTGACAAATGTGTTCTTCTTTGGGCTTTTGCTGTTATGTCTGATCATTCTTTATCATACAGCACTCAGGCAGAGGTAGTTCAGTGTTTGTTCTCCACTTGATTACTGTCCTTGTGTTCAGCTCTATTGCTTTTATGCTGTGCTTGAGTGTTGTATTTGTCTCAGCTGATCTTATTTCTTTTTCTTGTCTTGCAGCTCTCCTCCAGTTGACTACATCGCTCCCTCCCTGTCTCCCTTGCTCATGCACATGCTCCCCCTGCAGTAAGATAAGGAATGAGACACTCGACTCAACACAGGCTGCTGGAGCTGATTGAAAGGAACCGGTGCTAAGCAGAGTAACGGATCAGCATCTTAGCATCTCACT